TTTCCTTCTACACCGGCTAAGTTTTGTTCTTCATTTTTATATTCTAGCCGTTGTGTAGAATCCTATTTCGTGTTCTTCAAACACACCTTCTTACGGTCGAGAATAGCCGTTAAATTCTCACATTGTAACGGTCAAGGATAGCCGTATAAATCCTTGGGTAAAGGTTCAAGGATAGCCTTTGAAATCCTTGGGGGAGCGGTAGAAGATAGCCGTTAAATCTTCATTGTAAATTGTTCGAGATAGCCGTGGTGAAATCTCGGAGTGAATCCTATTGGCAGGGGTTGTTTGCCAAACTAGTGCGGTGCTTTGACGGAGTTCAAGAGACCGGGACTTAGTGGATTCGGAAATCCTTGAGGAGGAGCCTCGAGGTACTGGAGTAGGGTTTTCCGAACCAGTATAAATTTGGTGTGCATTTTATTTACGCTTTTATTTTTGCGTTTTATATATTGCTTCCGCATTTGCCAACACTGTTTTTATTAAACTCTGAAAAGATTTTAAACGCCTTATTCACCCCCCTCTAAGGCGTGGGCACAACGACTAAACCGACTAACAGTTCAGTTTCAGCTTGCAGTCCAATCATTGCCCAAAAATACAGTCCATGACCTCTCATCTAAGGTATTTGACTCCCAAGTGCACCTCCAAGTAAAATTGAGTACACCACCTTCAAGTACCAGCCAATCAATGCGAAAGAGCCACATAGGATCCGGCAATCTGTCTTGAGTAGTCCTAGCAGTGGCCAAACAGCCTCCAAAAACTAGTGGCACCCGTGACCAAAATCTAGAGGAGCCCAAACACTGCCCAAACAAGACTGCATTGCCTCTCCCTGAAATTAATTTGTATTGAATATAATTAATTAGTCTCTTTGACTACTTCGAGAATTAACAATTGCAGAGTGACAAAAAAATTTGTATGAAGGAGACGAAGATGTGAATTGTCATATCATTAAGAAGAGTGGATAGAAGCATTAACAAGTAAGGTATATCATGAATGAACCTTTTTTTAAATATTGGACTAAGGGACTTCCAGTGTCACAGCCATGAACCAGCATACACAGATGAACAAGCACAGAACAAGAACAGTAAAATCGAAGAACAACTTTTAGGAGGATCAACACGAGTTAATTGAATCACATAGTTCATTGACGCTGGAAATACATAACATAGTTCATATTCTCGCCACAAATTTTATCTCACTTTAGATAGAAAAAAATAGATTCATACACTACAACTTAGAATAGGTGACTAGTTGAAGCATTTTACCCTAATAGATCATTTGCTCGCGTCCTTTTTCTCAATCTCTGAAGGTTCTCTCTGTCGATTACAACCGATCTCTCTCTATCAGACAAGTACAAGAGATGACTGTGATTTTGAAGAAAACGACGGAAATTATCTCTATAGGAGAAGAGATAATCTGAATGGGATGCTATAGACCTAATTGCGAAATTGGGGGCACTAATTAGGTGGGTAATGAAAAATCGGGAGGGATTCTAAAATATGTGATGAACTTGAAAATTTTTAGAAGTAGCAATCTAATTTTTGAAACAAAAAAGTTTTTTTGTCCATAAATTTTCTCACTCTCATGAACCACTTTCAATTAGGGGTACGTAAAAATACCAGTTTGATATTGTTTCAAACTGGAACAATAATGTACCGAACTGGAACGTGAATTTTCAAATGGATCTAACAACTTATATCCCAAATCAAACTAAACCCTTTTCTTAATAGTACAGGATGGGTTTCCAAAAAATAAATAGTGAAAATAACTAACATTTACCACTATAATAATAAAGTAATAAATTAGTTATACATTTTTTCTTAATTTTATCTAATCCTTAAATGCATTAGATCTGGTCTAATTAGATCGAATAAGACCAAAACAGATCTAATCGGATCAAATCCTATGCATTTGAGAATTAGATAAGGCAAATAAGACACAACCTATACAAATGAATATATCTTTTTGAAAATTTAATATGATCTTATTGGCTTTGAATTTCATTGGATTTAATTAAATCTGTTTTAGTCTAATTTGATCTAATTAGGTCCGATCTGATGTATTTAAAGATTATATGAGGCAAATAGGACACAACCTACACAAGTGAATAAATCTTGTTTGAAGATTTGAGCTGATGTTATAGGATTTTGTTGAACACCTTATGCACCTCTAGAGGAGGGGGGGGTGAATAGAGGTGTTCTTCAAAAGACATAACTTTTGGAAGAATGAAAAAAAATTCGCAAGAGTAAATCAATCACAAGACAAAGATGAAGAGAAGGAGCAACACACGATATATCTTGGTTCGGCCTAATGCCTACATCCAGTCCCCGAAGCAAACGTGCCCGAGATTCCACTAACTTCGTCAAACTTAACGGAGTTTGACATTCCGATTACAACTCGAGAACTTGAATTCGCAAGCCTCTAACCTTTCCACCGAAGTCTTGATTTCACAAGACTCAGGATTTCTCTCCAAAACTTGAAATATATCAACTTCAAGTTTTTACAATTCACACACTGTTTCAAAACAAAGTGCACAGCGGAAATACTCTTCCAATTAAGAGTGGATTGCTGTAGAATACAAGATCTTATAGAGTATGGCACACTAGTACTCTCCAAAACTCAAGCAAATATTGATTTCTTGAAGAATTGCTTGGAAGTATTGTTGAAGGATCAAAAGTATGAATTGAATTGCTTGGATTGATAAAAGAATATGTTTGAATGGATATAAATAATGTTCTTCAACCAAAAGAGCCGTTGTAAGTGAGTTATGGAAGATAGGGATGGATAACTCCCTTGAAAACAGACAAATCTGCAGTTCAAACTGACGACTTATTCGAATAAAATCATATTTATCCGAATAGGTCAGAGCGAAAAACGCAGACTTGTTTGACTAAATTAAGATTTATTCGACTAAGTCACTGTAAGATTGAAGAAATGAGCTTCAGGACTTGTTCGAATAAACTGCTATTTATCCGAATAAGACAGAACTGAGAACTCTGACTTATTCGAGTAAAACAAGAGTTATCCGAATAGTTCTCACAGTTTTGAAAATGTTATTTTGCAATTGACTCAAAAATAATTTGAAGGGTTTTTGGAAAACATTTTCAAGGAGGGAAAAAAACAACTAACGTGCCATACACTTAAACAAAAATGCTAAGACCAAAACGAAAACCAAAAACACTATATCTTCACACTTGTCTTGAGATTCTACGCATGATTGTGAAGATCAACATCCAAAGTGCCAAGTCCATGAGATAGTTGTCATTATCAAAACACAAGGGTTAACAATTTCCCCTTTTTGATAATGACAAACCCAACTTATCAAATGCTTGGGCTTGATTCCAAATAAGATCCTATTTTCAACAAATGTAACAAGAGCACACAAGACAAGACAAGCACAAATAAAGAGTTTAAAGAAAGAGATTAGAGTACTTCCCCCTTAGTGATTGCACTACCACAAGCACAAGCACATTACTCTTCCCCCTTTTGTCATAAGAAAAAAGGGTAAAAGACAAAAGAAATGCTGAGTTTATCAAAACACAAGGAGGAATGGGAGATAGCAAAGTCACATTAAACAAAGATAAAAGAGAAAGAAATGTTGGATAAATAGTGTAGCAAATAAAATGAGTGCCCCATCCACTCATCCCTCATCCATCTCATCTTCCTCATCATCAGCAGCATCATCAGCAACAAGACCCGAAGTCTCTCTATGAGTAGCCGCATTCTGAGAAGATGATGACCCGTGGTACATATATGGCTCCAACGAATCCATCGATGGAACCACCCAATGTTCTCCCGACTTGACCAACAATTGGTTCAAATTATAACCATGGATAGCCTGTTGAATCTTCAAGTTGTCAAGGGAGGTTTGGAGTCCTTGCATAGCATCGTATAACATCGGCAGAGAAACCCTGCCTCTATAGGAAATCGGACGCTTCTGGGTAGGAGCAACAACATCATCATCATCGTCACTAAAGTCATCATCAACATTCTGAGCACGAGTTACGGTTTCCACTCGGATTCGCCAAAAAGGAGTATCATTAGTCATCTCATCATTAGTAAACTCAAAACCTTTTTGCTTCAAAATATGAGTGACGAGAAGAGGATATGGAAGGGCTCGCTTCTTTGTACAATAGAAGTTCATGTAGGTCAAAATGAATTTGCCCCAATTGATGGGAACCGGCTTGAGAATTGCATAGATGAGCATCGAGTCATCCTTGGACATTTGGGGATGATTTCCAACCCAACCTCGCAAGATATAAGAACAAATATATTGTAGTAATCTTTGAGATGGTGTCATCCCGCTCACCAATTGACGTTTGGATGAATTGAATTGGGGCGTGAAATCCATAGCCTCCCAACATTTACGCTCATCAAAATCATACCATGGATTCTGGTCATTGTTCACGGTGGTAATCTCACCTTCAGAATTGGACATCCCAAACATAGAATTAAGCTCCGAACTGGTAACAACAACCTCTTTTCCACAAAACTTAACCGTAACAACAAATTGGGAACCACGACGTTTGAAGATGAGCGACGCATAAAAAGCCTTAATATAATCAAAAGGAACTTGAGTCTCTCTAATGGTGACGACATTAAGGAGACCCGAGGAGCGGAGTTTGGACAAAACAGATTCAAAAGCTTGGTTTTTTTCAAACTCCACCAAATCGACATACCTAGGAGTGACAATCTTCCTGGGGACGATTCGTTCAAGGAAAGTTTTCAAATCGGCTTCATCTTCAAAATAAACCCGAGGATTAAGAGGGTAGACAAACCTTGGTACTTCGGGTGTAGATTGTGGTTGAGATGAAGAACCAGGGCGAGAGGAAGAAGCAGGTTGCCGAACGGTCTTCCTCTTCGTCCTTGATGCCATGGAATTGGTGGAGAAGAACTTGGCGACGAGGATGAACTTGCGTCGATGAAGAAGAGCCTGCGACTAGGGTTCCAGTGAGTCGCCGAGTGAGAGAGAGAGGATGCGATTTTAGTCTGAGAAGAAGTGAAGGAGCTTTGACCGAATAAATGACCTTTTAAAAATTAGGGTCTGATCTAATTTATTCGAATAGTTCCTTATTTATTCGAATAACGCATAACAACCCGCAACACTGGAATCCCAGTTATTCGAATAGATCAATTTGAGGCGCAACACTGGAATCTGTAAGGAGCATATTTATTCGAATAGTTATGCATTTATTCGAATAAACCACTGTAGTTAAGCAGTCCTTTGAAATTCTTCAAATACCCAAAGTCAATAAACATTCCCCCTTAATAAATGCTTCCTATGTAGTAAGAAAGAGGAGTGGATGGGTGAGAACCTGCAAAAAAGAATTTAAAAAACCACTCCGATGCCTAAGTTAGTACAAAATTCAATCAATTAACATGAAAATAATTAAAAGAAATTAGTTAATAGCAATAATTCCTAAGGCATTTCTAATACGACTAAAATTCTCACGGTCCAAGGGTTTAGTAAATATGTCGACCAACTGATTAGTTGTATCGACAAACTCAATGTCAACATCACCCTTTTGGACATGGTCTCTAATAAAGTGATGTCGAATATCTATATGCTTAGTACGAGAATGGTGAACAGGATTCTTCGTAATATTTATGGCGCTCATATTATCACAACGCAAAGGAATGTGATCAAGTACAAGGCCATAGTCCAAAAGTTGTTTCATCCAAAGGATTTGTGCACAACAACTCCCCGCAGCAACATACTCGGCCTCGGCGGTGGACAAAGCAACACTTACTTGCTTCTTGCTAAACCAAGAAACAAGAGAACAACCAAAAAGGTGACAGGTTCCACTCGTACTCTTTCTATCCATTTTGCATCCGGCAAAATCGGAATCTGAATACCCAACAAGAGTGCATGTTGAACCTTTGGGATACCAAAGTCCCAAGTTCAAGGTGCCTCTCACATACTTAAGGATCCGTTTGGCAGCGGTCAAATGAGATTCCTTAGGGTTCGCTTGATATCTAGCACACATACAAACACTAAACATCAAATCAGGTCTACTAGCAGTTAAATAAAGTAAAGAACCTATCATACCTCGATACCGTTTCACATCATCCGACTTACCACTTTCATCTTTATCAAGTGAGCATTGAGAACTCATTGGGGTAGCCATTTCTTTACAATCTTCCATCTCAAATTTCTTGAGAAGTTCTTTTGAGTACTTCGTTTGGCTAAGAAATGTCCCATGTTCAAGTTGTCGGATTTGAAGACCGAGGAAGAAATTTAATTCTCCCATCATTGACATTTCGAATTCCCCTTGCATAATCATAGTAAATTCCTCACACATAAGATCATTAGTAGCACCAAAAATAATGTCATTAACATAGATTTGTACTAAAAGCATGTCAAGAGCATTATGCTTAATGAAGAGTGTGGTGTCTACCTTTCCTCTTTGAAATCCATTCTCCAAGAGATGCGAACTCAAACGTTCATACCAAGCTCTTGGGGCTTGTTTAAGTCCGTATAAAGCCTTTTTCAGTTTGAACACGTGATTTGGATACTCAAAGTCCTCAAATCCTGGAGGTTGTTCGACATACACTTCTTCTTGAATGAAACCATTCAAGAAAGCACTCTTGACATCCATTTGATACAATTTGAAATTAATAGTAGCAGCATACGCAAGTAGTAATCTAATGGCTTCTAATCTCGCTACAGGGGCATAAGTCTCATCAAAGTCTATACCTTCTTGTTGATTGTAGCCTTTAGCTACAAGCCTAGCTTTGTTTCTAGTGATAATACCATTTTCGTCAAGTTTGTTTCTAAATACCCATTAGGTGCCAATAATTGAATGATTACGTGGCCTAGGCACAAGTTCCCAAATGTCATTACGTTTGAATTGATCCAACTCCTCATGTATAGCCATAGTCCAGTATTCATCATTAATGGCATCATCAATGGTAGAAGGTTCTATTTGAGATACAAAAGCCATATGATTAACTAAATTGCGTAATGAGCTACGAGTAGTTACCCCTTTGGAGATTTTACCAATCACATTGTCTAAAGGATGATATCTTGAAGTTCTCCATTTGGGTGGTAACTCATTTGCAATATGCTCTTCCTTTTTGTCCTCAACTTTTTCTTCAACATCTTCTTGTTTTTTAGATTTTGTCTTACTAGATACAAGATGCATTTTCTCAAGTGAACCTGCAAGGTCATCACAAGATACCCTTCTCGACAAGCGAGCATTATTTTCATCAAACACAACATGTACAGATTCTTCAACAACTAAGGTACGTTTGTTGAAAACTCTGTAGGCCTTACTTGTCAAAGAATAACATATAAAAATTGCTTCATCTGACTTGGCATCAAAAGGTTCTAAATTATCTTTTCCATTATTCAAAACATAACATTTGCAACCAAAGATGTGAAGATGTGAGAGATTAGGCTTTCTACCCTTATACAATTCGTACGGAGTAGCATTGAGTATAGGTCTTATAATCGCACGATTGAGAATATAAGCACTAGTACTCACTGCATCCGCCCAAAAGTACTTAGGTATGTTAGCCTCACTAAGCATAGTTCTCGCCATCTCTTTGAGAGATCGGTTTT